ATCTATTTCTAAATAAACTCTAACCTAGTTCTTAAAATCCTATATAGTAGCTATTGAGAGAAATGACAAATATTGTACTTTAATTTTTAGAAATACTATTCTATATAATGTAATTTCAGTCTCCAAAGACTCCTGTGGGCTTAGAAAGTACACTGCTCACTCTATGATATACACCCTACTCACTACTTAAAATAATTGGGTTTTATTTTTAAAATATAACTTTGGAGTAAACTCCATGTCCCTAAAGATGTTTTCTATTTTGTACCAATATGTGAAATGTCTCATTTCTCTTGAAATTCATTTTATAGCAGAAGAGTATCATACTGAATCAAAAGTTTCTCTAGGATGATTCACATTTTTCTTGCCAACTATTATGACCGGATTTAGATTGTTAGGCTATATGTATAAGACACTGCATGATACCAGTTCCAGGTTTGTACTCCTGTATAACAAATTACCCCAAAATTTAGCAGCTTAAAACAATCATTTATTATTTTCTCTTATAGTTCTGGAGGACGATGGGTTCAGCTGGGTAATCCTTCTTTAACGTAACTCATAAAACTGTAGGCAAATCACGACCATAGCTGGAGTCACCTGAAGGCTTCTTTACTCATATATCTGGTGCCCAGGCTGAGATATGGCAAGAAGAGCTAGGGGTTGATCTGGCCTATTTTTTCTCCTCATCTTCCCCGCCTTTCCCTCATGTGGCTTCTCTAAATGGTTAGCTTGGGCTCCTTTATAGTCCTGGTACTCTCGGGGTAGTTAGACTTCTTATATGGTGGCTGACTTCTCTCAAGAAAACATTCCAAGTTGCCTGAATGGAAACTGCAAGGCTTTTGATAAGCCAGACTTAGAAGACTCAGAAGGTTATTCTGTTGCATTCTATTGGTCAGGCAGGTCACTAAGGTCAAGAGGAGGGGACTTAGATCCCACCTCTCAAAGGGAAGAGTTACAAAGATATTGTGGCCATCTTCAATTTACCACAATACCTGTTCAAAAATGGAAGATTGCCAAATTTCTTCGAACTTTTTCTTCGCTCCATAGTGAATTTCAAGAGATTGAGATTAGTTTAAAACTCCTAAACTCAGGGTATGTTAGTTATTTAACTAATTTATTAATTAGTTACTAATTAGCAATTAAGAAAAATAATATGGGGTGCCTGGGTGGCTCAGATGGTTAAGCGTCTGCCTTCGGCTCAGGTCATGATCCCAGAGTCCTGGGATCGAGTCCCGCATCGGGCTTTCTGCTCTTTGGGAGCCTGCTTCTCCCTCTGCCTCTCTCTCTCTCTCTGTCTCTCATGAATAAATAAATAAAATCTTAAAAAAAAAAAAAGAAAGAAAAATAATATGGAAACGAATATGAAATTTTCCCTAGTACTCAGTTTGCTTTATGACAACAACACTTTTAAATAATTATCAAGAATGTGTTCTGCCAGGGCGCCTGGGTGGCTCAGTTGGTTAAGCGACTGCCTTCGGCTCAGGTCATGATCCTGGAGTCCCTGGATTGAGTCCTGCATCGGGCTCCCTGCTCAGCGAGGAGCCTGCTTCTCCCTCTGACCCTCCCCCCTCTCATGTACTCTCTCTGTCTCTCATTCTCGCTCTCTCAAATAAATAAATAAATCTTTAAAAAAAAAAAAAAAAAGAATGTGTTCTGCGGGTGGTATCTAGCCATTAATAAAAAGGTGAGTAATCATGGAAGGAATAAGGGATCTCTGCAACTTTCTTTTCTTTCGCGGGGCTTGATTCCAGGACCATGAGATCATAACCTGAGCCCAGGTCGATGCTTAACCTACTGAGCCATCCAGGTTCTCTTCTCATCAACTTTCAGTCACATTCCTATTTACCTTCTAAGTTATCAGGAGCATCAGAAAGCTGTAGAGTGCATTTCTGAGGATATTAGCACTCCCCGAATTATGCCAACTGCTACATCACCATCAAGCGGGACCACTCTGCTTCCCGGACTCTAAGTAGCATTGACTGGTGTCACTCCCTGATATTCAGCTGGCAGCTGGACTGAGCTGGGGGGTCCAAGATAGCTTCACTCACATGCCTGACACCTGAGCTGACCTCCACTTCCTTTTGGTGGACTCCTGGGGACTCTCCAGGAAGCCTCTCCAGCAGAGTAGGCAAACTTCTTACATGAATACTCAGGGTTCCAAGGGCAAATGTTCCAAAAGACAGGAAAGGCAGCTACCAGTTTAAGACATGGGCAGGACACTGGCACAGCATCACTTACAACAAATTCTCTTGCTCAAAACAGTCAGAGAGTCCACCTACATTTGGCGAGAGAAGGCACAAACTCTGTATCTTTTTTTTTTTTTTTAAGATTTTATTTATTTATTTGAGACAGAGAGAATGAGAGACAGAGAGCATGAGAGGGAGGAGGGTCAGAGGGAGAAGCAGACTCCCCGCCGAGCAGGGAGCCCGATGAGGGACTCGATCCAGGGACTCCAGGATCATGACCTGAGCCGAAAGCAGTCGCCTAACCAACTGAGCCACCCAGGCGCCCCCAAACTCTGTATCTTGATAAAAGGATTTGCAGCTATCTTTAATTTGTCACAGGGCCCATGGGGAGACTGACAGTTCTGAGGTCATATGCTAGACTCTATCCTGGCCTTCCCTTTGGAGTTAGCTGAAAGCCAGATACACAGAGGAAACTCAAATAATGTGAACTAGAAGTTACAATGAACCAAATATACAGGGGATATTGAGTAAGGAAAGAGTTAAGGCTTAGGCAAGGAGAGATTGGGGGGTGGGGGGGCGGTTTGCTGACTAGACTCTGAAACTATTCCTGCCGGCAGAAGCACTAAGACAGAGTGAACAAGAGATAGAGGAATAGACCAGACCACCTGGCCCTGGATGTTAGGGAGTATTTTTCTTTGGTGGCTACATTATAATCACAGAAAATGACCAGACCAAAGAAGTAAGTTATTAAGGGTGTGGTGTTATCAACAGTCCCTGTTCAAACCAAGATGGCACAAGAATCTTAAGGCAACAAGCTTCCGGGTCACGTTTTCAATAAAAGACTGGCCCCAAAATCCCTCAGTGGCAACCCATTTGGGACTCCTCTTACTCTAGAGAGCTTTCACTTTCCTTTCTGTTCTCACCTTCACTTAATAAACTTTCACTTCCGGTCACCCTTTTGTGTCCACGAGATTCATTCTTTGACTCCATGAGACGAGAACCCTGCAATCTTGCAAAAATATTATTTACATTAGACTGAAAAGGACAATCCAGAAATACTAAATGTGGAAAGGTTTCCCAGTTATAGTTAAATCAAAATCCAATACATAAAAGCCTTGAGAGACATTTAAGAAAACTTAATGTCGTGTATCCTCTATTAGGAGGAGAGCACCAACTATAACACATTACATGCATCTCTACTCTAGTCCTGGTACTCTACAGTACTTGTAGAAATGAAGTTACTTGTAGAATGTTACTTGTAGAAGTTACTTGTAGAAGTTACTTGTAGAAATGAAACTTTTAAATTTTTTAAAGTGGGTTGGAGATGGAGAAGCATGACTTTTCTCTTTCAAAAGCTAAATAAGATTAAAGCATATATACCCAGTTTTCAAAGCAGGACTTCGTTTACTGCTGCTGTATAAATGAGCCCATCTGAGGCAATATATGCTCTCCCACAGATGAGTAACATAAGTTAGCAGGGCCCTTCACAATCTAATACCACTTTCCCAGCCTTATGTATCACTGGTTTCTTCCTAATTCCCACTAGTCAAAGATCACCAGGAACACACTTATAATTAAACAAGCTGGGCTTATTACTCACTGCATTAAGGGAGACCAAATACCGTGAGGAACCATGGGCATCTCAGCAAAAAAGATGTCAACACTTACAAGATTTGGGCTTGTTTTCTGTTACTTTGTCTATTTTCTAAGTTTCACTTGGAAGAAAGACTAATCCAAGGTTAAGGTGGTAATTGGTAAAGAGGCAGAACTCAGACTGGATATGGTGATATTTGGTCATTTTTGTTACTTGACAATGTTCATGTTTTGTCTATGTTCAGAGATGATAAAGGAGTGATCTTACTCTTTTTTTTATATTTATTTTTTTTAAAAGATTTTATTTATTTATTTGACAGAGAGAGACACAGCGAGAGAGGGAACACAAGTAGAGGGAGAGGGAGAGGGAGAAGCAGGCTTCCTGCAGAACAGAGAGCCTGATGTGGGGCTCGATCCCAGAACCCCGGGATCAGGACCCCTGGATCATGACCTGAGACGAAGGCAGACGCTTAATGACTGAGCCACCCAGACACCCGATCTTACTCTTTTCTTGATCCATCGCTGACAGAGAGTAACTCTGTCTGAGCTGATATTCTGTGAAATTGTTTACATACACAACACCAATTCCCAGCCCAGGCTAACTCCGGATGTAAGAGACTGCTTTTCTCTTTCACACTCGAATATGTCATACCCGTACCAGCCTTGAGTTTGCTCTGCCCTGTCTCTCATTCTAATCTATTCAGTGACCTATATTTTCAGGAATCCTTCCCTTAGCACTTCAACTCGGTTTTCTGACATCCTTTGTACTGCTTATTTTTTGGTTAGTTGCGTTTATGCTTTGTTTCCTCGGATAAGATCACAGCATACGTCTCTCTCAGCGCTGGCAGAGTACTGCAAATTACAGATAGAGAGGATCGCCAAAAAAGAAAAGGGAAAGGCTTATTTCTGTGTTTCATAAACTCGGTGAAACTGCGTCACTAAATTCAGTAAAATCGTTCTGGAATCCGGTCCCAAAAATCCTGACAAGAATTCAGGTTTGAATAAATCACTGTGGGTAAGAAACGCGGTAGGTTCTTGTCCTTCCGGACCCCCAACACACACCCCCCGCCACCTCTCCCCTCGCTGCCCCCTCCACTGTCCAGGTCGCCGGTCAGACTACATTTCCCATAACCCTTCAGAGTCGACAAGGCTGTGTGACGTTCTAAACTACAACTCCCACAATCCTCGGGCTCCTCCATCTTGTCTCATTTTCCGCGGTCGCTCCCCATTTCCCATCTTCCCTTTCGGCTCTTACACGCCGAGGGACAAGGTCGTGAGAAGAGGAGGACTTGGTGGTGCTGCCATTTGTATGGTCTTAGGGCTCTGCCCGTTTCGCAGAACTTCCAACAGCGCCATGTTGGGACAGAGCATCCGGAGGTTCACAACCTCTGTGGTCCGTAGGAGCCACTATGAGGAAGGCCCAGGGAAGGTTAGTGTGTAAAGGGCCCAGCTTTGTTGGGGGAGGGGACACTTGGCTGCGACTAGCTGTACTCCCAAGGCCTGCTGTGGACCGTGGAGAGGGAGATGGGAAGCCGAAAATGTGAGCTGGGTCGTCGAGTGGCATTTCAGTTACCCCTGGAACCAGAGCCAAAGCTCAGGACCCTGGCTGCGCGCCGTCGCTGTGGAAAGGAATGAGTAGGAAGAGCCGTGGGCCCTACCTCGCCCTAGTGCTCGCCTCTGCGCCCTCCAAGGTCTGGAGGGTCCTTGAGGCCAAGGCTGCAGATATTTGTGGCTGGAGCTGAACTAGAGGTCACCGGACTCGGAGTGAAGGTCGTTGGAAACAAGTGAGGATGTGAGGCCTATAGCTGTGGGTCGAGTCTTCTCTAAGTAGTTGACTGAACAAGTATTAAACCTCTTCAGTTGAGGTTGGGTTTAGCTTCAGGTATAAATAGATTAAATCGAGTAATTAGTAGTAAGTACTCCAGTGACCGAGGCCTAGTAGTAAAGGGCTGAGAAAAGGTTTACGTGGTAGGGCTTCTTGGTTGTGAAAAAGTCAAACTTCGTAATGCAGTTAACATTGCCGTGTGCTTTATTAGGTGGCTAGTTTCTAAGATCGTAAACTACAACAGTGCATTCTATTTATAACTCCCTTGGAGAATAAAATTTTTCGATTTTCTAAATTAAAACTTAGGACTGTGTTACGTTACACCTGACTTACTAAGACCACAGCCTGGTGCTCAGTAAAGCCAGTTACTTTTTACCATAGAAGATCATGGGATGTAAAACATAATGTTTAAAGAGATGGTATGATATATGGCCTACATAACCTGATTATGTAAAAAAAAAAATAACCTATTATGCCCTGTGTACTTACGTAATCTATAAAATCAGATGATTTTGAAGTTCCATTTTTGTTGCTTGCTTTTTTTCCCCCCAACAGAATTTGCCATTTTCAGTGGAAAACAAGTGGCGATTACTACTTATGATGACTTTGTACTTGGGATCTGGATTTGCTGCACCTTTTTTTATAGTAAGACATCAGCTGCTTAAGAAATAAGGATGTTTTAATTAATTCATCAAACAGGTAATTAATGGATTTCTAATCTTTCCAAAGCAATGTTTTCTCTTACATTTCTTTCTTCCTCCCCTCCCCCACCCCCAATCACACAGTGTGTAGGGCTGATTCCTGAAGTTAGTGTAGATGTGGCATTGGTGGAGACAGGTTGATAAACCTATAAACAGATGTTTCTTTGTCTGAAAGCCAGTTTTTATTGGATACTACTGTTTGTCAGGCACACTTCACATTAATAATCTCATTTCGTTACCTAGCAAGCCTGTGAGGTAGGTGGGAGACTTAACCCAATCTAAGACAAAAAGATGTTAAGTTGCCCAATATCCCATAGCTAGTGATGGTGGACCAGAATTTATACCCAGTCTTGTTCCAGAGTTCACACTCCTAACCAGATAGAGTTCTGGTTAGACTGTCTTGAGGGCAGTATTCGTTGTATATGCCGAAACCAGTCTTGTGTGTTGGAAGGTTAGCAGATACTTTGTGTGAGAAGAAAAGATGTATTTAGCTTAATTGTAATCAGAATTTTCCTCAAAGCAACCTTATGGGGAGCTCTATGGGCTGATTAGGATAAATTCCAAAAATACCTTTAGGAAGAAAAGACTTTGTCTTAAAAATAAGGGAAATGATATACCCAGGCGATCCACAATGGAAAGACTTTGGTGCATATGATGAAGCAAATCAGTATGAATAAAGTCATGATACTGTAAACGCTTTCTGATGTACCAGTCATAAACTGATAAACAGTATGTTAATGAAACTATATGATTTCTTTTTAATGAATGAGACATTTTAAATGCCAATAACTTTTTGTCTTTATTTGCAGATGTGAAAAGGAACATTTTAAGAGGTGCAGTCTCTTTCAAAAATGGATCAAACTCTTGTTTTCAACATACTCAATATGTTTGTAAATAAACTTATGGCATGACTCCTTAATGCCTCTTCTCTGAAACGTGGAATGTAATAGTTGTGCTTACTGTTTTATTTGGGAAATATTCCAGGATTAGTTTGTTTGGTCAAATTAGTGTGTGATTGAGCCTGTTTCTTGTTTTTAGATTTTGAGGTTTTATTTAATTTTTGATTACTAGGTCAAGACCTTGTTGGTAATTTATGTTACTCAAAATGCAAACTTGACTTTGTTGTCCCATAGTAATTTTTTTAATTGAAAGGAAGTGTACTTTTAGTTTTCCTTACTTTGAAGCAGTGAAATTGTTTTTCTTCATAAGTGATAATTAATCATGAGGAAAACCAGTAGTGTATACAGTGAAGTCCGAGAGCTTTTTTTTTCCCCTCCAGATCTGTGATCTAAAACTAAAATTTTGCCTTGATAAATTTGCTGTTGACCAATACTAGTCTTGTTTAGACTAAATAAAAGTAGAATATATGAAATGAAATAGCATGTAAGTCAGAATATGGAAATATTACAAGTTTATTCTGGAATTTTAGTAGAAATGGACTAAAAGATGGCTCTGATTAGTAATTGTATCTGAATCAAATTTATATAATGTATAGTGAAATACTGCTAGTTACATAAAGTGTAATGACTTAGTTTCTAGGGCTTTGTATTGGGGCAGGAAAAAAGGTAGTTGCTGAATGTTTTAGTCCTAGTTTGGTCACTTTGGGAATACCACACTGATGTTAGAAGAACACTGTAAGGCAGAGGTGGTAAACTGGTGGTCCGTTTGAGTGCTAGACTTTTTGGTGATTAGGGGAGTTGTAGTTTTTAAACCAATATTTAAAAACTAGAATAGTTACAAGAAAGTCTCTGGATTCTTGAAAAGTTGCTCTGGGTGGTTCTACATTCTTTCATAGAACAAAACCACTGCCTAAACTAGTCTTCACCATAACATTAGATTTCCTGTGTACTCCTGATTTGCTGGAACCTTAAGAAAAAAAAAAAACAACTCTTTTTTTTCTCTCAGTTTGTGTGACCGGGCCTATCTTGACAGTCTTCGATAACCATGCATTAACTACTAAAATATGGATATATAATTAAATTTTTATGACTGCCCAGCTTATTCCCTGTACTTGCATGTCTTTTTTTTTTTTTTTGATTATCCATTGATGTGTCACATGTCATCCTGTGTTTATGGAACATTAAGGCTTTCTACCTTTGGGAAGATGAAAGCAGGAGTTCAGTGTTCATAAAATGATTTCAAATTCTTGGTTCAAATCTCTGCTATTAAATTACAAACTTAGCTGTCCTTGTTTTCTTGGAGGAAATGGGAATAGAACCTATCTTGTATTGTTTCGGATTCAGTAAGCTATATAAAAACATTTTAGTTTCTGGCAAGTCTTAAATGATTTTTTTTCTGAAGTAAAATATATCATGAATCAAATGTTACCATTAGCAGCAAGGTCTAGGTAGAAAACATCTGATTTATTAGATTTGTCTTCCTCAGTTAAAGTATTTGAGGATTTTCATGAATGGAGAAAAAAACACTTGCCTGTCTTGGGAGAGGAGCACAAATTGCATCATAAAAAGGTTTCAGCTAGCTGGGTCTTAGTGCATAAGTATATTGAGTAGTAGAGGCCAGACAACTGTTTAGTTTCTGTATTTGGGTTCTCCAGAGAAACAACCAACTGGTTACGTATATAGACAGATTTGTTTTAAGGAATTAGCTCGTGTGGTTGTGGAGGTATGACAGGTCCAAAATGTGATAGGGGTAGTGCTGAAGGCTGGAGACCCAGGGAAGAATTGCTCTTCCAGTCCAAAGCTGTGTGTTGGCAGAATTTCCTCTTCGGGGGGTGCCTCGCTGGCTCAGTCAGTACAGTATGAATGCGACTCTTGATTTTGGGATTGTAAATTTGAGCCCCACGTTGGGTGTAGAGATCACTTAAAAATAGAGTCTTAAAAAAAAAAAAAAAAACCCTCTTCCAGGGAAGTCTTTCTGTTAAGGTCTTCACTGATTGCTTGAGGCTAACCCACATTATGGAGAATAATCAGCTTTAGTGAAACTCCTTCAATTTAAATGTTAATCTCTCCAAAACACACCTTCACAGAAATATCCAGAAAAATGTTTGAACAAGTATCTGGACACGTGGCTCAATCAAGTTGACATTAAATTAACCATGACAGGGATGCCTGGGTGGCTCAGTTGGTTATGCATCTGCCTTCGGGTCAGGTCATGATCCCAGGGTCCTGTGATTGAGTCCCACATGCTCTCTGCTCAGTGGGGAGCCTGCTTCTGCCTGCAGCTCCCCCTGCTTGTGCTCTTTCTCTGACTAATAAAATCTTCAGAAAAAAAAAAATTAACCATGACAATTTCATACAAGCATGTGACTTAATCTAGTCACATTTATTTATATTTAATATTTAAAGTGTTGGATTGGGTTTTTATTTTTTAAAGATTTTATTTATTTATTTGACAGAGAAAGACACAGCGAGAGAGGGAACACAAGCAGGGGGAGTGGGAGAGGGAGAAGCAGGCTTCCCGCGGAGCAGGGAGCCTGATGCGGGGCTTGATCCCAGGACTCTGGGATCTTGACCTGAGCCCAACGCAGACGCCCCTGGTTTGGGATTTTAAAAGCCACAAGATTGCCATAAAAAATCCAGATTCTCTTGGAAAATTTAAATTGGATGGACCAATACATTCCTGCATGCAATTGAGCTAGTCCAAGTACCTCACACAGATGCTTCCTTGACTCCAGAATACCTGAATAGGGATTTTGGCAGGGGACCAGAACCCAGGATTTGTTTTTAAGAAAAACCGCTATTCTCCCATAATTAAGCTTTGG